GAGGCTGCTCACCCCGCTGGCGATGCTGGCGTGCACCACGGGCCACGGGACACCCGCCGGGTCTACCGAGCCGGTCGCCCCCTCGCTCCCCGGCCGGGCGCCGCGACCCCGCTGCCCGCGGTTCTGGCGGGCGGTGGTCCTCTCCGGGCGCGTGCCCGTGGCGTCCATTGGCTCCACCGCGCCCCACATCTGCGCCGGCGAGCGGTGCCGGGTGGATATCGCTTCGCCGCCGCCGCCGCCGCCGCCACCGCTGCCGACCCCGCCGCTGCCGCCGCTGCTGCGGGAATGGGAGACGGTGGTGCTGGCCCGCCGCTCGCCGCCGCCGGCCCGCCCGCCGCTTCCGCCGCCCCGGCTGCGCTCGCTGTCCAGGCTGCGGCTGCGCTGCTGCTGATGCTGATGCTGATGCTGATGCAGCTGCTGCGAGTGCCTCCTCAAGCTCCCCGAGCCGGAAGAACGGCGGGCGCAGGCTTCCCGGACGGCCCTAGCGGCTGCCTCGGCCGCGGCCTCGTCGGCCTCCCTCCGGGCGAGCTCGCGCGCGCGGTCCTCCGCCAGCTTGCGGGCGGCCTTGCGGGTGCGGCGGTTGCTGTCCGGGGGCTCGTTGGCCGCGATGTGGACGATCGTCCGCTCCTCGGAGTTCGAGCGCCGAGACGAGCCCGAGGAGACGGAGGAGGCGTCTAACGAGGGACGGCTCGGAGAGAGAGACCCTGGGATAATGCCAAAAACACCGTTTCAATACGATCGAAAAAGGGGGATGCGCGGCGTCAGGACAAAACGCGGCGCATGCCAAGTTCAGGGGTGGGTGCGGTGCAGGACGTTGCCATGCCATGGATGGAGCGAGAGTGATAAAAACAAGCAAAAAAACAACGTAAGATCTACTCGACACAAGCGCTGCAACACAACAAAAGGTACCATTTTTCGAAGGGATCGGAACGACAGACTTCAGACCCCCAAGAGGCGAGGTCCACCATGTAGGGTACAGATTGACGCGGCACACGCGCCGTGTCGCCCATTTTTTCGAAAAATCCAAGTGCAGTACTGCTGTACGGCCAGGGGGGGGTGGTAGCATACTATAGAGGGAGAAAATAATAGGGGGATTGTGCCTCGTTTCACACATTCCAGTTTTAATAAAAGCTTGTAGGAAAAAATGAGTCTCGATCGTGGCTTCTTGCCGGACTGCCGCCGCCGCCGCGGCTGCTGCTGCTACATACGCATCCCCACGCGTGCCGCCTCAAATATACCAGAAATATAGTAATAATTTAGACGATATTTAAGTTACGCGTCTTCGGGACAAAAAAAATCGTTTTGTAAATGTAACTAATTTTCAGCCAGGAAAGGAGTGCGACGGACCCCACTAGTGTCGGTGAAACGGTATGCATAGAAAAGGAACGTTCGCTAGATCGGCGGTTGAGGATGCATTAGCCTCGTGCTCCACTATCATGCGCGATTTAATCGCCACGTGTGGTGGTCTTCTCGATGATGATCGGTCGGTACTTGGTACACCGGCACCAATCTGCGGCCTCCTGTGTAGCCAGCACGCTGCCTGGGCCACGTCTTCCAATCCACTTACTGAAAAGACTTCACCACATCCCTTTCGACTGAGGTTAGACCTGTCTCTCGAACGGGTAATCTTTCTGTGGGGTTACGTTTACTTTCTACGAAAAAACACCTCAACGGAGTGCCTTCTGCTGTGAAGTCTTGCCCCCACCCAGGAGAAAATTCTCAAAAATGTTGTGGTCCTATATACAGCGGTGTACCCACGCCCTCTCTCTCTTGGCCAATCAAATCATAAGCAGCAGCGGCTCCAACAGGTCCAAGTCGAGTGGGTGCAACGCTGTAGAAACAAATCCTTCATTGTTCTGTGTTATTTATTCCATATTTTCCGAGCACCCTCGGCTACCCACGCCCTGTCTCTCTCTTGCCTAATCAAATCAGCAGCAGCAGCGGCTCCAATTGTCTCCAGCAAGTGCAATGCGATCAAAACCATAAACTCGTCTCTTCTGTGTTTTTTTATCACGTGTATATTTTTCGGACACGTTGGCTACGTTCCAGGCTCACATTTCCACCGCCGCTTGCCCCTCTTCTTGCGCGGCGTCGAGACAGACGCCGCGCTGCTGCTGCCCGCGTCGCTGACCCCGTCGAATCCGCCGCCGCCGCCGCCGCCACCGCCCAGCGACTGCTGCTTCTGCTTCTGCTGCGGCTGCTGCTCGTCGTCTACGGAAAGCCCGGCGATGCCAAGCGATTGCCAGTTCACTACCGAAGACGCGCCGCGGCCCCTATCTCGCCTGCGGTGCTCCTGCTGCTGCTGCTGCTGCTCCTGCTGCTGCTGCTGCTCCTGCTGCTGCTGCTGCTGCCGCGAGGACGACGCCAGCGAGCCGGAGAGGGTGGAAGAGGTGACCGATCCCTGGGGGGACATATCCGGGTAGTCGTTGTCCTCCCCGTCGTCGTCGAAACGTATGTACTCCATCTCCTCGTCCTCGTCGTCCTCCTCCTCCTCCTCGTCCTCCCCCTCGCCGCCGACAACGTCGTCGCTGAAGCTCACGCAGCGGCGGTGGGCGTTCCGCCGGGTCGACGGCGAAGACGGCGTGGCCAGCCCCCCCCTCCTCCTGGGAGGAGCAGCAGGAGTAGCAGGAGTAGTAGTGGTAGTAGTGCCGCTGCCGCTACTATTTCCGCCGCCAACGTCAACGCCGCCGCCGCCGCCCGTCAAGCTGCTGCTTCGGCCGGCTAGCGCCGATGCCACTGTCGTCGCCGGCCGCGTGAGGCTCCGGCTCCGCTCCGGGGTGAAAGTCGGCGTCGACATGCCGTAGGCGGCCGCCGCGGCCGCGGCCTCGGCCGCGCTCGAGTGCACCGGCCTGCCCCTCTGCTGCTGTTGCTGCTGCTGTGGCTCTGGTAGCGCCCGCGCCATGTGATTGTTGCACTTTTACCACCTACGCTTGTGTGGTGAAAAAAAAATGGGCGCGGGGTTTTGGCGGGGTAAGGCAGGAGCCCTGGGTAAGTGGTCGACATATGCATACAATCAATGCAACACGTCTTGTTCTGCAATCATTTTCGAGCTGCACCCACCGGGATTCGTTCATTGCCAGTCGTTTAGAACAGGCGGCCCCCGCTGTGCAGCCCATTTCTGCACACGTGTTGGCTGGTAATTCCGACTGCTGTGTATGAGCAAGACGGGACGGGAGGATTGTTGCCACAGCAATCGATCTCAACTCTCGAACCTAGATATACATCGCCATTTAGCTGCTGCAGCAGGCGCCCTGGTTCTTTTTGAACACTGCTTGCAATTCCAAGTCGCGTGGTGGTCGCGTGAGCTGCCGGCCGCCACGAGAGACTGTTGTTGGGAATGTTCAAGTCCTCTGTGACGCGCAACAGGGACAGAGCCTAGCAGCTGCTGCTGCACTCCAAGCAACGAACTTTTCCCGATTTTTGCGCCAGGAACAGCAGCAGCAGCAGTCATTTCAAGCAAGGCGTTTAAAAACAAGGCAAGCCCGCACAAGGCACCATCTCCTTTTCAAACGCAGCTTCGTGGACTCATCTAACGGGACGTGCTATTGGTTCTCACCCCTCAGGCTATCGCTGTCCTCCCCCTCCTTAGCTCTCTCCTCCTCTGACGAGCTTCCCAGCAGAGTCCGTCAAATTCCGATCGGTTGCGCGCGGCTCGCGCAAAAATAACCCGTGTTGTCTGCCTGCCGTGCGCCAACAACAGAGCAAAGACCATCAGAACAAACAGCGGCGCAAAATGGAACTGAAAGCACGGAACGCCTGTGCACACACCCTCCTCGCAGCGGCTCTTCCTTGCAAACGCGCCAGGCCCCCTACTGAACTCACGCGCGGCGCTTGGGCCCGCCGCCCTTTATGTTTTCTGTCCCAAGGTAGGCTATTTGGCGCGGCGGGTTGTTGTTTTTTCCATGCGCACACACCCGACCGAGATGAACGTGTGCGTTCTTTATTTTTCCGCACGTAGATATGTGCACTCGGCGTGTCTGCTCCAGACACGCGCGACGCAGAGGGCTTGCACGACTGCTGCAACGAGCAGAAGGCCTTGCAATTCAACCGAAAACGCACGCCGGAACGTAAGACACCTGCCTGAGTGCTCTTCGCTCTCTCCCCGTGCACGTCTCACCTAGATAGCGTGTCCAGCACAAGACAGCGTTCCAAGTTTTTCCGCGAGGGATGGAAACACAGCCCCGTGCTACGAATCTCCACCTACCCCCCCCCCCCCCCCCTCCGAATCGGGCCGAATCTATTTCAGCGACACCAGCGGGTGCGCCACACACCGATCGCGCCCGCCGCGGTGCAAGCGGAGCCGGGGCAATAGCAGAGACAGACCGTCGTACGGACGCGCGATGAGAGAGAGAGTGGCACGCAGGAGCCCAAAAAAAAAAAGAGGGAGGAAGGAATCAGTTCCAGTTCCAAGCGGCGGTCCAGGGTGGTGCGGTATCCAAACCATATGAATTCAGTATAGAGATTTTCAGCGCACAGAGTTAAGTAGTTCCGGATCCTCGGTGATCTCGGCCTTTTGTTTTTTCCCGTTTTTTTGTTCCTCTTTCTGGTCCAGACGATATCTAGTGAATGAATATAACGTTGGGGATAATGATGATGACGATGATCATGCAAAACAACAACAACAGAACCACAACAGTCCTGAATCTTTGCTTGATGGCGGCGTTGGATATACATACTTGGAACACATCAACTAACTGCTGTTAACTTCCATTCGCATCGTAGTACTTGGGTCGTATGATCTCATGATTTTGAAGGACGTCACCCGGTGTATGGAGGTGTTGGCAACCAACAACCACAAACAATCAATCAAC